TGTGACAAGGCCATCCACCTGGGGAGTGATTTCTCACTTTCTCTCCAGCAAACACACAAGCCCTATAGCAAACAAACAAACACATGTAAATAGGAAATAACAGGTAGCAGAAAGGAGTAAAATTTCTGTTCTAAGCAGACAAGATAGTGTTCAAAAGGACGACGTAGTATTCCAGGTTTTTCTTTATTATATTTCTGAACTATTTGTTACAACAGATGTCCCTAATAAAAAAGTGTGACTGTCACTCAGGATACGGCAAGCATCTTCGGATGGAGGTTTGAGACATTTGGATCACAGCTACAAAATATATGGCGCCAAGACTACAGGAATTTCCTTCTTGTTACAGCAGAAAACTAACGTCTGAAATGCCGCAAGACCCAAAGTGTACATCCAATTAAGCAGCATCAGACAGGGTCACTGACCCTGGACCCAATGGAAGATGGAGAACTTTAAAGGCTCTACCTGATACATGATGGTTTAAGTTTCAGTCCACTTTGCCCAACTTCTCAACAAATTCGATGACAACACCCTGGTTCAAGTGGCATGTTTGCAGTTGATTTGAGGAAACTCAGAAATAACCCCAAATCAATTCCAACAGCAGAGGGGTGTGAGTCCTCCCACCATACTCCAGTAAGGAAGAGCATTCTTAACAGCAGATACTGTGGAGCTAAACACACCGACACGGGCCAGGCCCATAGTACAGTGGATAGGCACCGCCACGGGAGTGGGTTCTCACAGGGCTGAGGACAATTAGGATCCTGGGTCCAGCAGCTCGACACACACTCTCAGTGCATGTCATGTGCACCCACCTAAAATCTGAGGGGAGGAAGAAATGGAGGAAAAGAGGATTGAGATATGACCATACCTCACTGGGGAGTGCTCTGGGAAATGCATACGTCCCCTGACAATTTAAAAAAAAAAAAAAAAAGAAAGGGGAAGGGAGAAAAAAAAAAGAAGGGTCTGGCAGGTGGCATGGTGGTTAAGATGCTAGACTCCCACATGGAGGTTTGAGTCCCAGACTTAGTGGCTTGCTTTCTCACTTTCCCTCTCTTCTCTCTCTGTCTTTCTCTGGTAAAATTTAAAAAATAATAATAAATTAAATTAAATTAAAATAATTTTTAAATTACCCAATGAAAATGACAGTGAATGGCAAAGCTTCCTGTTTAAGTTCAACCTAGCTGAGTTTCCTCTTAAGCACAACCTAGCTGAGCTCAACAGTATGAAAGATGTCAGTAGGAGCTATCCTAAACTCTAATCATTTTGATCTGAAAATCATCTCTAGGGCTCAAATGGACATTCACCTTCTCAAACTCACTTATTTCTGGACCTCCACACTGGGTCAGTCACTAATCAGATGACCAATACTAGTTGTGTGTGTATACTTAGTGAGATAAACCAGACAGTCTCACCCCCTCTGTTCACCAAATATTCAGCCCCAGAATTCTTTCAGTCAATGGAACTCCCAGCTAAAAGTCAAACTAATGGGCTATGTCAAGCTAAAACTGCATTTAGGGCCAGCAGGTGGCATGGAGGTTGAAGTGGCTAGATCCCATATGGCCAACTGCACAGTTCAAGTCCTGGACACAGCGGCACAGCAGCTTGAAAAACACACAGGGCACGTGTGTATGCACCCAAAATCCCAAGAGAAGAGTGGAAGAGAAAAGGGGCTGTGACATGTACATCCACCCTGGGGTGACTTGGTCTTTGGCGATATGGTCCTCACTGTTCTTCCAGTGAAAGGACTCAACGGCCATGTTTAGAACTCATCTTTTACTGTATTTAAAAGTCTATAATGTGAGCATAATGACTCTCAAAAATTATCACGAAAATTTGTTATTGCCAGAGGATAAGTGCACATGCACATGCGGAAGAGAGAAAGCACCCCCAATGGGGCTTGGTCACACTGCGGTCCTTTTTCCTCCAATTCTCCATCCCATGAGGATTTGGGGCATGTGAGTACATGTACCTGCCACATTTTTTCAAACCACTGGAGTCCAGATTCAAACCTCAGTCAGCTATGTGGGATCCAGCTTCCAATGCCCAGCACTTAACCAATGCACTATGGGCCAGCCATGTGGCAAAATCTCTGACTTAGTAATTTCACTATTGGAAATAATCACAGCAGCTAACAGGTCTTAAGTATTTACTGTGTTCTAAGCACTATGCTAAGCATGTTCCTTAAAATAATGGTAAGTAGAAAAAGAGCACAAGGGCCAATCCTGTGGCACAGGTGGTTAAGGGAACCAGACCTTCCCAATGGGTTCAAGCATCCTGGCCCCAGTGGCTTTGAAACATGCCAGGCATGTGTGCAGCCATTCCCCAAATCCTCATGGGATGGAGATGCAGAGGAAAAAGAATCACAGTGTGACCACTCCCCAGCAGGGGGCGCCTTCTCTCTCTTTGATGAGTATGTGATTCCTCTGGCATAAGAAAAAAAGAAAGAAAAGGAAAAAAGAAAGAAAAAGAGCAGAATATAAAATTTACATACAAGGAACCAGCAGTTAGTGTAATGGCTATGTCGCTGGACTCCCACGTAGTCGACTACAGTTCAAGTCCTGGACCCGGTGGCTTAAACTCACGCCAAGCACGTGTGCGTGCGTGCCCAAGATCCCGAGAGGAGAATGGAGGAGAAGGGATTGCGGCGTGGCCATCACCCCTGGGGGGTAACTTCTCACTTTCCATCTCTCTGTCTGTCTCTGTCTGCCTGGCGAGCGCACGCGCCCTATAGCAAAAACCTCTACAAAAAAAAAAATTTACATACATATAGCCAGATCTCAACTATGTGAAAAATAAATCTACACATGGAAAAAATCTATATTTACTGCCAAATAAAAAGGCGGTTTGCAGAATAACATATACTACCATACATACATATAACATATACATATACATATAACATACACATATGTAAATAAAAGTGCGGTCACACTCACACAGACAGCCCTGACGGAGGTTAGTACTCAGTAAATGTGCACAAGCCGTGATTACTGTCACAGTGAGCATCACCTGCTTCATAATCAGGAAATCAACAATGTATTAAACCACGAGTTTAGGTACTTCCTTATTCAATAACTAAAAAGTATGTTACTTCAGGAAAATTACATAAGTGACCTTTTTTATGGCAATCTTAACTTGTAAAATACTTCCCGATTCCACGATTTCAGATTTAAATCCACTTCCGATCTGGGACTGAGGCGTAGTGAGGACACTGCAGCACTTCCAGCCATCCAAGGCTTACATTCAGTCATAGCACCACAGAGCTGTGCGGATACTATTTTTTAAAGAATTATTTAACTTCATTTATTTATTTATTCATTTATTTTAGTCTGACTAGAGAGGGACAAAGCAAGAGTGAGAGAAAGTAAGAAAGCAAGCTACCAGGTCTGGGACTTGAACCGTGGTTGGTGATGTGGGAGTCCAGTGCATCTAACTACCACACCACCTGCCAGCCCCCTGATGCTAATTTTTTAAAAGAATTATTTCTTGGGGACCAGCAGGTGGCGTGGCAGTTAAGGCACTGGACACTCCCACATGGCCAACCAGGGTTCAAATCCTGAAACTGGTGGCTTGCTTTCTCACTTCCTCTCTCTCTCACTCTCACCCTCTGTCTCTCTCTGGTCAAACTAAAAATAATAATAATAATAAAATGAATGAATAAATAAAATAAAATAAATAACTAAAAAAAAAAGAATTATTTCTTTTAAAATGATTTCTTTTCGGGACCAGCAGGTGGCGTGGTGGTTAAGGCGCTGGACACTCCCATGTGGCTGACCACGGTTCAAGTCCTGGACCTGGTGGCTTGCTTTCTCACTTTCCTCTCTCTCCCTGGTCAAATTTTAAAAAAAAAAAAAAATGAATGAATGAATGAATAAATAAATCTTTTAAAAGGAGTTATTTCTTTTCTTTTATTTATTTATTTTTTTTTTAAATTTGCTATAAGGCAAGTGCACTCGGCAGAGAGAGAGAGCATGTGAGAGAAAAAGGCAAAGTGAGAAAGCAAGCCACCAGGTCCAGGATTCCAACCATGGTCAGCCACGTGGGAGTCCAGTACCTTAACCACTACGCCACCTGCTGGCCCCTGTGCTCACACTATTACATTTAGAGTTTAAAATCATAAACACAAAGGCAAGAGTGGGGTGGTATTTCGAGGGCTATGATTGACAAGATTTTCTGGGTCAGTATTTGCCACTATCAAAGCTTCTATTATCTCTTAGATAAACCAACAGCTCCAGAGTAACTTAGTAACTTAACCAAGATATGTAGGACATGAATGTAAATGAGGGATATTTTTCAGCAGCTGTTTCTAGGTAGGATTTATCCCCCCCCCTTTTTTTTTAACCAGAAGGTGCACGCATTTGCCAGAGAGAGGAAGAGGAAGAGGAAAAGAGAAAGAGGAGATGGAACGGGAGAAAGCACTCCGATGGGAGTGCGATGCCACAGTATCTTCTCCATTTCCCCACCCGGTCAGGATCTGGGGCATGCATGCAGACATACCTGGCCTGTTTCTCAAGCCACCAGGGCAAGGATTCAAACCTCATTAGGCCACATAGATTCTGTCCCCTTAACCACTGGGCCACAGGGCTGGCCCTCTAGGTAGAATGTCTACTAAAAACTAGCAAGAACTTATTTTGAGTGAAAAATGGGCAACTGTAGAACTTAGTTCTTCATATTCCACAGGATCCTCAATATGTGAGTATGTAAGATGAAATCAAAGGTCCACTGCATTGTACTGGTTTCTGGCCCACCTTTGGCAAAGAATAAGTTGAAACATTAAAAGGTGAAAGACTTCTCCCTTCCCCTTCCTTTGTGATAGGTGTAACTAGACAGTATATCAAAAGTAATAAAGAACATTACGATACTCAGAAATTAACTAGAGAAAGAACTACAATCTCCTCCGTAAGTTGAAGGAGAGCTGTCTGTTTGCCTCACATTGTACTGTTCAGGATTACAAAACCGCCACCCCAAGGAGAGTGAGCGTGTGGCTGTCCTGCAGTCTTTACCTGTGTCTCGCCCCGTCAGACCACTGCAGTACATGGCATGTCGCTCGATCTTCGTGGGAGGGAAGCCTTGGTCACAGAGCGGGCAGGACACCTGGCGACTGGGTGAAAAGGAGGAAGCACGTGTTTCCTTCTCAGCATCTTCCCTTTTACCAACCTGAAGGAAATGACAAAAACTGTACTTTACAAATACCTTTTAAAGAACTGCAGAGACCATCCAGTATTTCTTCGACTTTCAGAGACAACACCAACCAGTCTGGGCTGGGGACTGGGAGACACTGCTATACCTAACACTTACTCAGTGCCTGTCAACTGGGTACTAAGCACTGCACCATTTACTCATTTAACCTCACAATTTCACAAAGGCATTAACAGAAAGAACCTTTTTAGATATAAGAAAATTGTCCGGGGCCGGCAAGTGGCATGGTGGTTAAAGGCGCTGGACTCCCACGTGGCCGACCACAGTTCAAGTCTCAGACGTGGTGGTTTGCTTTCTCACTTCCTCTTTCTCTCTCTGTGTGTCTCTGATCAAACTGGAAAATAATAATGACATAATAATAAATAAAGTTAAATATTTAAAAAAAAAAAAGAAAGAAAGAAAGAAAATTGTCCAAAACTGTCAAGCAACTTGTGCAAAGTCCCAGAACAAGTAAGTGGCAGAGCTGAAACTTGTACCCAGGACTGTCTGCTCCCAAACCTAAGGACACTGATCTCTACCTCCCTGTAGGCCCAGCCCTGCTGCATCAGTGTGCTGTATCTGCTATGTTCCATATTTTGCGTATCAATAGCATCTTTTTCCTTTTTTAAGAATTATTTTATTTAACTATCTTTATTTATTTATTTATTTAAATTTGACCAGAGGGACAGAGTAAGAGAGTGAGAGATAAAGACAGACAGACAGACAGACAGACAGACAGAGGAAAAGTGAGAAAACAAGCCGCCAGGTCCAGGACTTAAACTGCAGATGATCAAGTAGGAGTCCAGGGCCCTTAACTACCAAGCCACCTGCCAGCCCCTATCAACGGCATCTTTAAAGGTACTTTTTCAATCTCACAAAAGAACTACTAGGATCATTGTAAGTGACTTTAAGACTGAAAAAGCCAGCAAACAAGAGCTCTACGCCAACAAGCAGCACAGCCAGGACCGAGGCCCACAAGCAGAGCCTGTGCTGGGACTAGTAAGGCACACCTGCATCTTCCTTGTGGCCTGGCCTCTCAGACTGCAAGAGGGAGCTGAGAGCCGAACATTTAAGGCTCCAGTAAAAGTCCTCAGGATAATCAACCCTGCCGATGCCACCCCGACCCCTCGGCCCTCGTACTCCTCCCGTGTTCTGTCACCCTTGGCTCTCCTGCAGTCGCTACTGCCCCTCTGAGGCAGTTCCGTTGCACCTGTACAGGTCGGTCGGAGCCAAGAACTCTGCGGTGATAATCAGCACTGCGCGTGAGCACTGCAGCACTCCTGCCCAACGCTCGCTTCAAAGGACAGCACGTCCTACTCCATCAACGCAAGACTGCCCTGCACAACCACTGCTCCCGTCCACGCGCAGGAGCGGCGAGCTATCAGCAGGTTACCACACGGGAGGCCTTCTGCTGGGACAGGACAAAACAGGACACACCGCAATGGGAAATGATCTTACTTCTGAGCCAACTGGGTTCTTGAGTTTTCGTGTTATCCTGTGTTTGGGTTTTTTATTTTTTTCCTTTTTTTTTTTTAGCTTTCAAGGTGATTTTTTTTATTTAATTTTTTTTTTACATTTTTTTTCTGCATTTTATTTACAAAATACCTTAAACTAAAACTATAGACAAATCTAGAATCTAGTTACAAGTGCACTATAATTTTCTTCTGAAACATTTTTAATTAATTAATTTACATTCATTCTCTGAGCACTGTCACAGCATACAAAATGTGATTTCCCATCCAAAATACACAGCATAGTGGCTTAATCATACACGTTACCATCATTAATTTTCCACTTCTAGTTTCATATCTATATCTATATATATATATATACATATATATGTATGTATACATATTTTTTACCCCTATTTCTAACCCTCTGCCATCTCGCACACTATCTTAGATGTCTATAGCTGTTTTCCATTCCTTTTTCTCCCCGACATTTTATTGATTCACAAAGTTTCTTAAGTAATCTAACTTTCAATAGCAACTTTAGCTGGTATGTACATATCAGAGAACACATGTCTGATTTTAGATGTGAAACTCTGAGTAGAATGAATATACTATAAAGTAACACCTAGCTGATGCTATAAAGCTTACTATGGTCATTCAAAAGTATTTTTAAATATATTTTTTAATTTCAAAAAAAGCAGTTTTAGCTTTAATAAATCAAAGAAATGCTAAGGAACTTTACTTAAAACTTAAAGCCAGAAAATAGGTTAGGATTCTATTCAAATAGTAGGTACATGAACCTACTGGCAGCTCAAAATGGGACAAAAATCCTTAAAACTGGAAAACAAAGCCTAGAAGAAAATCAGTATGTTTTAGTCAAAAGTCATAAAATGCTATTTCACCAGTTCAGTCTAATGTACTTAATCTATCTTCTGTTGTGATCTGATCTTCCCGACTGAATTCTGGGATATAATATTCAACTCCAGACATGTCTCTATAATTAAGTTGGCAAATGAACTTTTCCTGATTAAATTCTGGGATATAATATTCAACTCCAGACTTGTCCCTATGATTAAGTTGGCCACTTTCTTAGTTTTTGGACTCTTATTTCCATGTGTCTGTGTTTAATTTTCCTGATACAGCACACCCTTGAGAACTTCTTGGAGATCTGGTCTGGTGCTGGTAAATTCTTTCAGGTTTTGTTTATCTGAGAATATTCTTGTCTTTTCTTCCCACCTGAAAGATAGTCTTGCCAGGTACAGTATTCTTGGCTGAAATTGCTTCTCTCTTAACACTTTGAATATATGTTCCCATTCTCTCCTCGCTTGTTTTGTTCCCGATGAGAGATCTGCTGTTAGCCTGATGGGATGTCCTTTGTAGGTAACTTGATGTTTTCCTCTTGCCAATCTTAGTATCTTGTCTTTGTCTGCAGTTTTGGTCAACCTGGCTATAATGTGTCTTGGAGAAGATCTTCTTGGGTTGATTCTATTTGGGGTCCTTTGTATTTCTTGGGGCTGGATCTTTGAGTGCCTCTCTAGGTTTGGAAAGTTTTCTTGCAGGATTTCATGGACTAGATTATCAATGCCCTTATGAGTCTCTTCACCTTCTGGGATGCCAATTATCCGGATGTTTGGACGTTTGATAGTATCTAGTATTTCTCGCATATTATTCTCATTTTTGGGGGTCATTTTCTCAGTCTTCATGGTGGATTTTTCTAAGTCAGCGATACTATTTTCTACATCTGAGATTCGATTTTCTGTATGATCTAGTCTGCTTTTAATATTTTCAAGGGAGATTTTGACTTCCTGTATTATAGCCTTCATCTCTAACAGGTTCATTTGATTCTTTTTTAGAGTATGTATTTCCTCTTTTAGATCTTGCAAGAATTTCCTCAACCTCCTAGAACTCGTCAGCTCTTTTCTCCTGCCTCTTCTACAGTTCATGGTATCTCTTTTCTTCCATCTCTATTAGCTTTGCCATCATGAATATTCTAAAATCCTTGTCAGACATTTCCGTAAGTTTCACTGTACTGTCTGAGGATGAAGAAGAGTTACTCTTTTCCCTGGAAGAGAGGTACTGTCTTGCTTTCCCATATTTCTTGTGACCCTGTGGTGATTTCTAGTCATCTGATGGATGGTACGTTTCTTCCTGATTCTTGAAGTTCAATCTGACCGTTCAGAGGTGAGTAGGAGGAGGTGATCTGCAATCTCTCTTCTGTTCCGTTTTCACTCTTTGTGCATCAGATTCAGGGTGAACAGAGAACTCTTTTTT